ATTATGGAGCTCCTAATGGCAGGAATTGAGACTCCAACAAACAGAATCTGTTACTGAAAGATCTGTTGCGGCTGAAAGCCCAAATACATTTGAACTGAAACATGGTTTTATATTCCAGCTAGAAAGTCTTATGATCTGAGTTGCAGACATGAGGGAATCAATGTAACCTCACATGCTGATATCTGAAGACATTTTTAATTTAAGCTCCCAAAGCTGGTGCATCGTCTGAATTTTCTTCCAGAATTATTCAGAGTGCATCTACATGTTTTAACCACTGTGAAATTAGAAAAGCTGATGTTCTACACCGTTCAATCTGAATAAAAGTGCACTGCAGGGCTCTACAGTGCGACCATTTCAGTCGCATTTGCGACTGAAAACTACTGCGTGCGACTATGAAAACATATTTAGGAGCACCAGTGCGACTGACCAGATCATCATCATACTTGTGATTGTGATCGCTGAGGGGAGCTTCAAAGGTTTCTACGTGTGTTTGCAGCGTTGAGCAATGTATCACAGACATATCTCATGAATCTTTTCGTAAGCAAAGTGTAGACAGGGTGTAAATAAGAGATTCATTGCGCAGTGTAGAGAGCTTCCTTGATTATAAATGTGAGATCGTGATGAGCTAAGATGAGTGACAGCTTTTAATGATTTTTAAGGGAGTTTGTAAATGTGATACTTATTTAATACAACAGTTAAATAGACAAGAAGTTAATATTAAGTGACTTACATTGTCTGACTATAACACTATTGTCTGATTTTGCTCTATTTCGTCGTCGAAAATAGTTTCAAACAAAGTCACAGCTCAGCCGATGCGCATCTCTATTCAAACACAGCGGTGTTTCGTTTATGAATGAACTGCGTTTTTAAACGAATCTAGTGAGTCAGTGATTCATGATTACCCATTCATAAATACTGTCACTTGCTTCATTCCTGAATGATTCAGCCGTTCGAATGAATCAATTGAATGAATGATTCAGTGATCAAATCAGTGACTTGTCGCCACCTGCTGGCGGATTTAGTTTCAGTTTTAAAGGATCTTTTCTGTTCTTTAAATCATTTAATATTTCTATATTCCACATTTTTTAAAACCTTAATCTTTTAATCATTAATCATTAAATTCATTAGTAAACATGAATTTATGGATTTAATTGCACTCATGCCACCTCTGATCCTCATTAAATGTCTGAAAATACAGCCACTTTTGTGTTCTTCTGTGCTACCTCTGTACAAATTAATTTTAATACTGATTTCATTTGATTAGTAACTTATTCTTCTTATTCTACTTGTTCTTATTCTATGGTTTTATCTAGAATTTTTAAAAAGCTTATAAAAATTTTTAGTTTTTTTGACATAAAAGATTACATACTTTTAATAAAGATAGAAAAATGCCATTACAAAGGTAAAAACAAAATTCTACTGTAAATCACGTTAAGGAGTCAAATATCACCTCGTAATGGGAAGGTGATAGGTGAAAGCAGTCATTACTCGTGCACCCACAGGACACTGAGTACTTTTGGATTTCAAAAAGTGAAAATGATCAGAAACACAGAAAGGATTTCTCAGAACAGTAAGGTCGTATTTCACTTCAAGAGCTGTTCTTGGGCATAACCACAAAATGAGATTTCAATAGGGTTTATGTTTCGAGCAAATTTGTCTGAGCAGTTTTTGTTCTTGTTTATCACTGACTTTGAAGTCAATGGAGCATTTTATGAGTTGGTAAATAATAAAGGTGAATTATTTTTTAATCAGCGTTTACATTCAGTGAGTTACATGGGTGAGTGGATACTGGTCCATGTCTTTCATCATTGCGGTTAGTAAATGTCAAGCCTGTACTGGGATTTCACTGGTCCACTGAAGATGTTAACGCAGGTTTGTAGGTGACCGCTTTTATGAGGGCATCTGTAGGAATCTGATTTGGTGGTGTTTTTAATATTCAGAGTAGCAAAGGGTTAGCAGTATTCAGTAGGGCTGTCAATCAATTAAAAATTGAGCTGCATGATGTGTTGATTTGAATTAATTTAGCCATGGCTACTTTGCTATAGAGTCTACGTATTGGTTAAATGTGTTTGTTAAATGACTTAAAATGCGTCCTTGTTACATGTACTTACTATTATAATAACAATTAATTATGCATAATTATATGCAAGTAACCCAAACCCTAATCCTAACCATATAGTAATTATACATGTAGTTAATTAATATTACTCAGTACGTAAATGTATAAATACACTGTAACAAGGACACCTTAAAATAAAGTGTAAACCGACTTCATTATTAAAAAAAAGTCCAAGTTATCCGGAGCTTCAATCTGAGAACAAGAGCTGTCAGTTTAATACTTTTTTTTTTTTTTTTTAAATATAATTAAAAAGAAAAATATTGAAACATATGTATTTAATTGTACTTGTTTAAGTACAATTAATTACACTGTTATTATTATTAATACTGTAATTGTACTTAACCTAAGTGCAAATAATTACATAATTATTTTTTTAAATAATATTATTAATTGTAAATTTTCTTGTTGCTGTTATTATTATTAATTCTAATACTAACACTACTAGTACTGCTACTGATATTAAATAAAATATGTGCTCAGTTGTATTCATTAAACATTGTTGAAAAATTCTAGTATTCAGAGTTAAGCCCCTACTAGAAATAAAATATGATCACTTATCATGTCTGTACCCAATTAGTCATTGCGTTCCGTTTCTCGAATAAATACCTCAAATACTGTTGCATTTTTTTTCTCCCTCTTAGCCTCCAGGCAGAGATATTTATGCTTTAATAACATGCTTTCATAACATTTGATGACATTTGAAGATGCGACATTGAAAGCTGGCTGCACGACACGTACACTTGAGGCTCTTTGTGATATTTTTATGGCTGATTTCTTTTGTTAACATGAGGTAATCACTGTTTGTGTCACATCTCTTTGTGAAGGGTAAGAAATGAGTGCTTCTCTTTGTTCTGCTCACACAGATACATGTGCGTGACTGGCCCATCAATGATCTGGAGCTGTTACATGTATATGCGAGGAAAGGTGCTGCTTTCCCTTGCTAAGTGAGCTTTAATCTGCAATGAGGGGACTTTAAAACACTCAGATCCTCACGTAGATCACGCTGAAGGTCACAGTGAGCGCACCAGCTCAGCTTTATGAAGGGCCTTTAGCGTTCACATTTTCATGCTATAATAGACCTATTGGTGAAAGTGGATGTACAGCTGTGGACTGAGAGAAAAAAATTGAAATGACCCTTTCTTTATTCAGTTGGGTTTCCTTCCTTCCCCTTTCAGTTTTTCACACTGCCTCCTGTCTCTTTTTGTCCTTCCTTCCTTCCTTCCTGCCTGCCTTCTTTCTTTCTTCCTGCTTTTTCTTCATCTTTCTTTCCATTTCTTCTGCCTTTGTTCATTTTCCTTCCTTCCTTTCTTTTTTTTATTCCTTTCTTTTGTATTTCTTCCTCCTTTGTCCTTCCTTCCATTTTTGTTCTTTCTTCATTCCAACCAATTATTCTTTCTACTCTTCTCCTCCTTTCTTTCTTTTTTCTCCTTCCTGTTTTCTTCCTTCCTCTATCCTACCTTTCTCCCTCATTTGTTCTTCCTCCTTTCATTCTTTCTTCCATCTTTTATCCTTCCTTCTTTTTTTATTCCTCCCTTACTTTGCTTTTCTTTCTTCCTCCTTTGTCTTTCTTCCTTTCTCTTCTTTATTTGTTCATTCTTTCTTCTTCCCATCCTTATTCTTTCTACTCTTCTCCTCCTTCCCTTCTTACTTTCTCTTTCCTGTTTCCTCCTTCAGTACTAACTTTCTTCCTTCCTTTCTTTCATTCTTCCATTTTTTTCAACCATCCTTCCTTCCTTTTTTATTCCTCCCTTCCTTTGCTTTTCTTTCTTCCTCCTTTGTCCTTCTTCCTTACTCTTCTTCATTTGTTCATTCTTTCTTCCTAAACTTATTCTTTCTACTCTTCTCCTCCTTCCTTTTTTCTTACTTTCTCCTTCCTGTTTTCTTCCTTCCTCTATCCTACCTTTCTCCCTCATTTGTTCTTCCTCCTTTCATTCTTTCTTTCTTCAATTTTTTTCTTTCATCCTCCCTTCCTTGCTTTGCATTTTTCATCCTCCTTTGTCCTTCCTCGCCTCCTTCCTTTTCTTCATTTCATTCTCTCTTCTTTCCATCCGTATTCTTTCTACTCTTCTCCTCCTTCCCTTCTTCTTACTTTCTCTTTCCTGTTTCTTCTTTTTTCTATCCTACCTTTCTCCCTCATTTGTTCTTCCTTCCTCCTCCTCAATATTTCCTACCTTCGCTCTTCATTCTTTCTTCCATTTTTTTTTCATCCTTCCTCCTTGTTCTTCCTTTCTACTACTTTATTCCTTCCTATTTTCTCCATTCTTTCCTTATTCTTCTTCTGTTTATCTTTCATCCTTCCTTCCTTCTTTCCTTTTTTTCTTGTTTTCATCATTCATTAATTTATTACTTCCCCTGAAGCACTGTTTGGGGTCCCTGTGGGTATCCAGCCATATCCTAACCATACACTCTTAAAAATAAAGGTGCTTCAAAAGGTTCTTCAAGCGATGCCATAGAAGAACCATTTTTGGTTCCACAAAGAACCATTCAGTCAAAGGTTCTTTAAAGAACCATCTCTTTCTTACCTTTTTATAATCTGAAGAACCTTCTTTTGCCACAAATAACCTTTTGTGAAACAGAAAGGTTCTTCAGATGTTAAAGGTTCTTTATGGAACCATTTAGACAAAAAGGTTCTTCTATGGCATCGTGAAGCACCTTTATTTTTAAGAGTGTATATACTATAGGTTTGTTTCCTTGCAGTGCAACCTCATACTGTATCTATGATAATCATAATGATTTTACGTCTATAAATGTGCAATGCATTATACAACCATTTAGCATTTTCCTCTGGAGATATATGGCAAGTAAATGCTGAATATATAGAAGAATGTGTAAAAATATAGATGGTGCCTCTCATGAACTGGTCCTTCCTCTCTTTCTGTAGTGTATAAATGTGAGGAGCTCTTCACCAACAACACACACCGGAACCTGGCCATTCAGTTCCACTTGGAGTGCAGTTATACCTGCCTGACCTACTATGAGTATCGCAGGGCCAAAGAACACATGCAAACAGCCCGCGATCTGTCAGGAATCGATGTTAACATGATAGGTAAGAAATATAATGTAATGTCAAGAAAAATGATTGTTCTGTGCAGGTGACTGAAGGAGGGATAAACTGCAATGTGTGACTGAAGTAACTGGAAGATGAAATGAATGAATGAAAGAAAATATGGATGACCCAGCAGTATTGATGGAATGCATGAATGATTAAATAATTGTTTGCATCTCTCAGGTGCTTTAGGAAAGAGAACTCATTTTCAGGAGAACTTTCTGGCTCAGCTCATCTTAGATGTGAAACGGAAGGACAGTTCACCTGTTCCCAATTCAGAGAGTCCCTCCCTCACACCAACACCTAAAGAACTCTTACCAAAGGTACATAAAGAGTCTAAAATTATCTTAATGTCATTACAATGGCAGGTGAATTAAGATAAATTAGACTATTTATTTTATTTGTAGTGTTGGTTTTTTCAGTTTATTGTATTAATAGAGTTTCTTTGTATTTTGTTTAATTGTATTTGTTCTGTTGCAATAAAATGATTTAGCTGTTGTCACTAGAGCGTCATATGCAGGTTGAGTATGTGCAATATGAGTATAATTCTTTTCTTTATTTTACTTTTCATATGTCATTTGAATCACTTGCATTACTTATGTGAGAGAGGGTTATTTTTACATTTCTACAATTTTTACTCTCATTTGGCACTTGAGTAATCATTTAGTTTACTTTTCGTCTCAGTCCCCATGGGGGCAAGAACGGTGCAGTACTTATCCCATCCATCAGGGGCCGACATTTATTCTTGTGCTGACAGCAGACGTGACATTGAGCTGCAGTGAAGGTCGTGAAAAATAAATTTTATTCAGATTTCCATCTGTCCCATTCTTTCCTGTCTTCCTCACGCTGCCTCTCTCCTCTCACCTACCCTGAGGCAATGCTTTACTTTTATTGCACATTTTAGGACGGCGGTTGAGTTTTATCTGGTGTTTGGCTGATCTGTGCAGTGGCATTGCTCTGTCTGGTGTTATCTGCTTTGGCTTCAAATATGACAAATTGGGGACAGACAAAGATTTTACGGAAAATTCCCAAACCTTATCTCTGTTTCCCCTTAGCTGGCCTCGTTTTATGTGTTGTGGCCCTAAAAATTGCATTAAATAATTTTTTCCAGGATAACTTGAGTTTTTGGATTAAACGTGATAAGATCAGTATTGCTTACAAACTCTGAGCTGATAGCACTCCAGTGGGTCTTGGTTGTCGTTTGTCTTCATGTGAAGGCTTTTTTCAGGTAGAGTGTCCGTGTGTGAGAGCTGTCAGACTTAATTTAATGGGAATTGAATTTGAACATCAAATTAGATTTTAAATAGGCTAAAGCAGAGGAACATGTTAATTTGCATATGCCCCGCCCTAGCTAATAAGTATCAGTGCTAGCATCATTTTCTAATTTCAGGTAATATTTCATGAAATTACCCTTCTAAAGGGATTAAAGAGCTAAATGCTTGTTTTGGGACACTTTAATAATGTAAAGTTCGACAACAGGATGGGCAAAGTTATGAATGCTGTTCCTAATACCATAACAAGTGTCATGTTGCCATAACTGAAAAAATGGTGTTTGAATTGTTTACTCTGTCTCCTTTTTTCTCTCATCTAAACTGTGATCTGTGTTTGTCATACACTTTTTTTTTTTTTTTAAGGTCTTTTGGGATCTGCTCTGGTTCTCATGCCTGTGTGTGTGTGTGTGTGTGTGTGTGTGTGTGTGTGTGTGTGTTTATAGGATCATCAGTTGAGTGATGATACAGTCCTGAACCAGATTAACCTGGCAGAACCATCTGAACATGAACTTCCGGACCTCAGCGCTGAGGAACAGACCCTTATACTGGCCACATGGTGAGTGTCTCAGTCGATATGGATATGTTCTGTTTCAATAGTGGCTGTAGTAACAGGATGGGCACCAGTACCTAAGTACTCTGACGTGACAACCGTTGACAGATCATGAAAAGCAGTAATTGTGACTGTTTTGTTGACTTCCGAACATTTCATACAGATCGAAAAGCAGTAATGATGACTATACACAGATACACAAAAGTGGCCTCTTTTCGATTTTCTATTTGTGATTGCTTGCCACTGCATTTTTGGCAGTATGTTACAGCCCAGTTCACCAGACAGCAATTTGTATCAATATTGTTCATGGTGACTTTTGCTCTGATGTGTCATCATTAGCGCTCAATACTAAGACATTTTTCTTTTCAAATGATGGTAGACTGTGTGTAACACAATGATAAAAGGAAGGAGTTTTTAAATTAAAACTACTTTTTTTTAAAAATATACAATACATTTATTTATAATATTTAATTTATTTTAAATAAGTTGAATTTTGTAGTATAATGTAATGTTTGATATTTAGGTTTTGGTATTTGAGTAAAGTTCTTTTTTTATTTATTTATTATTTTACTTTAAGTCTCATCTTAAAATGCAATGCTAATGTTGTGCAACAATGCAAAAGCTGTGAGATCGGATGCAATGTCCATCCGATAGATGTGCACATAGACCAACGGTTATAAAAACGGATCAAAATGGTGCATAAATTTCCAACCCCCAATTACTCAAGTAGACATTACTAAACTAAACTAATAACTGCAAAATTGTAACTGTGTGCTGAACATTTTAGATATTTAAATCACCATTCCTCTTTTATTAAAACAGTATTTTACTTTTATTTGAATTGAATCCACATATGAATTTGTGAGTAGCAAGGATGTTGCTGTGAAGGTAAAAGTTTCACTTTTATAGAAGGTTTAAATCTTGCAGAGGAATTGCATATACTGCCACTGTCAACAGTTAAATGAAACACACATCCCTTTTTTTGCCACAAGTGTGTGTGTATATGTCTCTTGGTTTGTGACACTTTATTATAGACTGTTTTAAGAGTCTACCTTGTGCATGTGAGATTGAACATACTTCTGAAAATCAGGTTGTCAAAGCCCAAGCCAAACCGTTTTACAAGTATGACTTCAACAGGTCCTCTGGCTGAAATGTGCTTAAAAATTCATAGACAAAAATCCAAGGAAAAATTGTCTCCTCTTTGTCTCCTCATCCTTGAGATTAGTTTTAGTAGCTGTAGTATTTTAGTTCCAAACTTTTAAAGGTCACATATTTTACACATTTCTGGAGTTTTATTTTAGGTTTTGATGTCCTTAAGAATATATATTTGCGGTATAAGTACCAAAAACCATCTCAATATATTTTTACAGCACCTCTCTCAGGAGCTCTGCTGAGAACAGGTCAATTTTGGCCTGTCTAATTAATATTCATGAGCCTCTCTTCTGATTGGCCTGTTGTGTTCGGAGTGACGCACGGCCAGGCCAACCACAGGTAACTAGGGTCAGCCGACCACATCACTAGCTGGAGGCAGCAAAACAAAGGGAAAACTGGATGGAGGCGGCCCATTCAAACCAGCGCAGATTCGTAAAAGCTACATAAGGAGCTTAAAATATCATCTTGTTGTGATGTTGGGTGCAGCTCGACATTAATCATGTTGGGGATGTGTAAATCATTGTTATTGCTGAGAGTCTTGTTTTATCTTAGTAACTTTGAAGTGCTGCGTCAGGCCTTCATCTTGCAGAATATGTTTTTTTGTGCACCCTGATAGCGGTCTTCTCCATCCTGAATAAAAAAAGTGGATGGTCATCCACCCCCATCTCAGCCCCGGGAGGAGGTGCGGGGTTCTCCTACACTGCTCTCTAATTAGCTTTGTACCATCCTGTGCGCCCTGTTTGTTGTAGAAAGGTCGTCATCCTGCCTGACTGGCTGCTAGGAGACAAATTGCAGGCGTTGAATAATTAGCAGGGCGTAATTATGCAGGCCAGGGACCTTAATTGGGCTGTCTGATGGTTGAAGGTGAATTATGGGCCGTCATTGGTGCAGTCGAGCAAAACTGCACGTACGGTTTAACTGCATTCTGTTGGAATGCGAACAGCCCACCATACATTTATTATCCTCGGCTAACGTAAAGAACTCTGACTCAAATGAGAAATTCAGACAGTTACAACTTGAGGAAAGTAGCTGAAGTTACCTAGAATATTGAGTTATGGGTATAATAATGGGATTAAATAATTGAACTGCTGAGTGAGGGTTGAGATGTGCGAGCTCATATTTTATCCTTTTGACTGTCTGACAACTTTGTTTTAATGCCTCTACTGCAATAGATCGGGTGAATTTCATGAAATGCGGGGGTCGTATTTCAACCCAAATGCAAAAAAAAAAAAAAAAAGGAAGCCTATGTTTAAGATCTATCTTTCTATCTTGGTACATAGTTGAACTTCGTTTTCATTCATTTCTTTTAATAAAGGAAGCACAAATCACTGAGAGAATCTTCCAAGTAATAATGAGACTTTTATGCATTACACTAATGTGTCATTATGCAAATAAATCATAATAGAAGGATTATTTCGTAGTTTTTATTTATGAAATATGTCTCAATTCTCAAATGTTTAAAAAGCTATAAGAATAATGAACGAGGCACAAGATCTTGCATGCACTGGGATTTTTTTTAATGATCATTTTTTGTTTCCTTGACTTGTGAACTAAAAGAAACGTATGCTTTATTTATGTGCTGATTTTTTTGATTGATCATGGTTTGTTGTTTTGCAGCATAGACTTTCAGAAGAATAATGCAGTTCACAAGCTAAATGAGGAGGAGCTCCTGGCCTTCACGACGGTAAGACGCATGTTTTTCTGTCTTTCTCTCACTGGCACACTGCAGTTGACACATCTCTTATCAGTGCATGCAGTTGTATTTTCAGTCTGACAGATGGGGTGCATGTAAACGGGTCTCTCTCATTTGGTGACAGTTTTGCACCTAGAATATGTCTGTTTACACTAACAAACACAAACCAATGAAATGGTCTGTCGCTTCTGTTGCTCTGCTAGGAACGTATAGAATTAATGAGGTGTCATGACCTTGCCATTTAAGCTGCACTGGTCAACTCTAGCACATAGGTTTACATACCCCTGGTGAATCTCGTTTCATAAGTTTACATCAACACAAGTCATTTAAAAAGATTTTTAAATAATAAAACCATAAGTTACAAATAGTTAAGAAACTGACATATTTAACGGATATTTACATATATTACACAACAATTATAAATAAATTTACATTGATATTATCCGGTTTAAAAGTAATTTATGTAGAATTTGGGATATTGCAAAAAAAAATGCAAATAAATGATCCATAATGTGCATAAAAACTATATATAGTGGATACAAACATGCATAAACATTCTTGAAAGTCATGATTTTGTTCTCTTAAACATGGGATGTAAATGCCGCTTTTATTTACAATTCCAGTATTCATCTGTTCATTTGTTCATTCATTCAATAATTCAATATATTAAATTTGCGACTTGGGTGGAAGCAACTAATTGACTGTTTGTAGTCTTTAGCAGTAATTTTGCACGAGTCTCTGGTTTGCTTCAAGTCCTGTAAATTCTTTAATTTCCCAACATTCTCTGCACATTTGAAATAGTACCCAAACTTTTGAAAAGTTTGAACAACTGGAAAATTGAGGGGCCCGTACATAATAAAGCTGTGAGAGTCATTGATTTGTGAGGAGGCAACACACAATATTAAGAACCAAGAGCCAAAATTTAACCTAAGACCCAAATTTAAGTTATTGTATTGTAGAATATATATGCAAAAACCATGTTTTTTTTTTCTAGGCAAAAACGAAAAAATTAAAAATGCCAAACGCATTCTGCAGGGATATGTAAACGTATGAGCTCAGTTGTATAAGTATTTTTGACATCTGCATGCTGTTGAAGAGTTGACTTCCAGACTTTGTAATGTCAGAAAGTATGAGATTTGTTATTTTGACACGTCTTTATATTTTTACATGTAGCAGTTTTTGACAGCTTGGGTGAGAATGATAGACAGATTGAAAACTGCCCATTTCCTTTTAGCTCATTCACTCAAAACTCACATTACAGAAGAGTGAAAAACCATCGGAAACCTAAACGTCTGATCAGTTATGAGGAGAGCAAAACTCACTTACTGAAACTGAGCTAATGAAGACACTTCTCTGCCAGCAGACCATAGTGTCTTTCTCGATAATCTTTAAGCCACTTCCTGTTAATGTAATTAGTTCAATGTTTCAGCCACAGCCACAGACAGACAATTTGGAAAGTTACCCTGTGGGTCACTTCTTTTAATCTGTAGCGAGCGTCCCACCATTAAGGTGTGGAAACAACGATGTGGTTATTCTTATTAGCAAACACCCTCAACTAAAGCACTGCATATGTTCTGCTTAATCGATGTGTACCGGTGTACCGCAAATGAAACCCTGCGGCGGAGACGTGCCTGTAAGAACAGTCAACGCGACACTGTCTACATCTGCTGTGAACATCATTTTTAACCAGCAGCAAATTGGCATACAAAGAGTTTCTAAATCAGCAACCTGTGCCCACCAACAGCCTCAATTATTTCTAGTCTGTTATTGCTGAGGACAGTTGTGTGTGATTTATATCCGTTTACAAATGTCTCTGACAGCAAAATCAACCACTTCACAATAACAGTTGTGCCTCTCGCTCTATTGTGGAGGTGCCGTGTTAAAGCGCTTGTGTTCTAAACACATTCTGTCTTATTTATGTAGCTAAAAAAAGGGGTGTCAATGCTTTAATATGTGAAAATGTACATTTTTCAAGTAAAATATGAGCATGAATAAGAAACAGCTATTCACTAATGCATTTTTCCATTCCCAAGTCTTATTTTACTGAACATTTTTGCATTTTCCTTAACTGGCCCGGAAAATGGTTAATGTTCAGACTTGCAGTGAAATTATTTTAACTACTTAAATTCCAATTGTAATAGCATTTCCTGCATATGAATGCTTATATAAAAACTAGTTTTATGTAAATGCTATATTTTTAATATAAATAGATTTTTATGTATTTTAGGTTTTGTGCATTTTAGCATTTATGTAAATATTACTATTAATATTAAAACAATTGACTGTAAATGTTTATATAAATACTAAAAAACAAGAGAACATTATTCATAATTATTATAATTAAATGTATTTAATCACAATTTGTTGTTGTTGTTGTTATTATTATATTTAATGTGTGTAGTCATTTAATTACCATGATAGGTTATCTGCAAACCATTGTATTCTACTTGTTTTTTTTGTTTTTTTTTACTCTTTTTATTTATTTTTCTTGGTACTTTACGTGCTGTATTTACTCACAAACAAACAAACAAACAAACAAACAAACAAACACACACACACAGACACACACAGACATTTTAGCATTTATGTAAATATTACTATTAATATTAAAACAATTGACTGTAAATGTTTATATAAATACTAAAAAACAAGAGAACATTATTCATAATTATTATAATTAAATGTATTTAATCACAATTTGTTGTTGTTGTTGTTATTATTATATTTAATGTGTGTAGTCATTTAATTACCATGATAGGTTATCTGCAAACCATTGTATTCTACTTGTTTTTTTTGTTTTTTTTTACTCTTTTTATTTATTTTTCTTGGTACTTTACGTGCTGTATTTACTCACAAACAAACAAACAAACAAACAAACAAACAAACACACACACACAGACACACACAGACACACACACACCTCGTATCTTGTAATGTGGACCTCAGATGATGCCAACCCTGAAACAACATACAGAACTACCACATTTTGCTATAAGTTTGATTGCATCATATAATAATTGCTGTTAATAGTGTTCATTGTCTGTTTGATTACATCTTTAATTGATTTTTCCGTACATTTCTGCCATATGTACATAAACTGACAGTCACCACTGATAAGCTACTACTAAATATTGTAGAAACTTAATTTTCTGTAAAGTTACTTTGCAAGGATTTGTATTGTAAAAAGCGCTATACAAATAAATTTGAATTGAATTGAATGTCAGTCTGGTTGAATCTGAATTCTCCTGTTCCTTCAGCTGCTTGTGTAACTGTGGCTGATGCTGTTTAACAGTTCTTTAGCTCATTTTCAGGGGTGATGTTTCAGCTTGTCCTCCTCCTACGTTGTTTTCTTCTTTTCTAATTTATACTTGGGTTACTGCCCTACCCTTCTTCACAGACTCCGAATCTATTTGCATTCATTAGAAGTTGCCTTTCTCTGGCTCTTGGAGGACCTCAGCTGCTCCGTCTCGCCTCGCTGTTCAAGGCTTGATATCTTTATTTGTACGAGCAATGAAGTGAGTCCTCTGCTCTCGTACGTTCGGCTGTGTGCACTTCTCTCTAAAACTCTCCCACGTCTTGGAATGAGGTCAGTTCTTTTCGAGTGTTTCTGTGTTATGGCCAATTGCAATTTTCCCTAAAGTATTAAGTGACTTTCCCAGATAACTTTCACCTTGAGAGGACATGTTCCGACGCTTTGACAAATACCCGCACCTGTTCTCATGGCTGTAGGGCTGAGATGTTGGTGGTCTCTCCTTGAAATTAATCCCTCCTAATCAACACCTTTTAAGATCACAGATTGTTGAGGAGCCCAATTAGGTGTGGTTCTGTGAAATATGGGTTTAAATCCTTGGAAGGTTTGACTGTCTGACAGCTTTTGGCAAACAATTCAAAGCCAACTCGAGTGTGTCAACACCCACCCCAGAGATGTCACCACAAGTCAACAGATATGCCAATCTCAGGTTTGCTTAAGGTACGAGGCTCTGACGGACAGGGCGAAGCAGTGTGATGGATTGAGCAGCAAAAAGGGAAAGAGAAGGAAAAATGTGTCTCCAGAGTCTGACCCAGAGGTTTGCATCATATTCGGCTAAAGCTGTTAGAGTCCGGTCCCTCTGGAAAAATAATCTACACTTCGAGCAAAGATTTCAAACAGCAGTTTCCTGTGCCTGATGGAGCTCTGCTTTCTGCATGAACTCTAGAGTCCATATTTTAAGCAGGTTGGAAGCAAAATTAATGGGGTAGAATAGGCCTATGAGTCAGTTTGGGATGAGGACATCCTCTGCCTCTGGACATAATTCAATAGAAATCGCTGTAGTCGCTGTAGTTGATGAATTTGAATTTGTGCTCAAACACTAGAAAGAGATGAAATTATGATTATTTGGGTGGTTTTTCAGTATGGTTGGGAAGATTGAATCATTTCAATGCTGTACGTAATACTTGCCTCATCAGAAAGGCTAGCGTTGTTAATGAAAAACTATTATGAAGACACAAACTAGCAGTAAAAAAAAAAATCCTTATATAAACTATATACATTCAAATATATATATATATATATATATATATATATATATATATCTC